TTCTTTTTAATGCCCTCTTAGTTGCAGTTGGTTCCACACTATATCATCGTCTAACTTGTATTTCCTTCAGATTTTTGCACCGAATGAAAAGATAGAAAACATCAATGATCAGTACTGGACCCTGCGTGCAGAGGAGGTATATTACCTTTGTGTCCGGTTTTACAAGATCAATTTTCATTTGTTAAGAGGTTCAATCCCTCAATCCCCCCAGGAATTGATGGATGCCATTCCTTTTTCTTTCTAGGTTCCGGAGGAAGAGAAAAATCTTGGTCCTTTTGATCGCTTGATTCATGTATACCATTTTACCAAAGACACTCAAAATCAGACGGTAATGGAATTCTGCTAATAATTTATCTACATATATAGCTTAAATGGATAACTGCATATGCACTGCTACAAAATTTTAGCCACTTTGTTGCCTGTAATTTTAAATTAGTCGCTGACAGAAATTCATCCGAGTTAGGTGTGTTTATTGGATTCGACTCTCTTGTTTTTTGTTTCTTTATTTCAACTGTTTGCCAGCATCAGTATCATGACCTATACATTTTATTCAAGATGAACTTGAACTGTGTTGTGGCTTGTTTAATTGAGTGTTTTTTATTATATATCTGTTTACTATCTAAACTTCAGCAGGCTCTCTACATGTCAAATCATCTGAACACAAGTGTAGCCATGTGTTCTTTTTGTGTCGAGCTATGGATGTTTCCCTTTTTATTTTTAATTGTTTGTAGTACCTTTGTGGCTTTGCAAAACGATTATATTTTGCCTATGAACAGCATATTTTTCATCTTCACTTTGTTATATTTAACTAATCTTCACTGTCAAAATGATTAAAGGAGTCCTTACAAAATCAATACTCCTATATCCGTAGGTAGCAGAAGCCCGGTTAAGAAGTATTTGTAAGAAGCAGCATCAGGCTCCTGTAGTCCTGCTTTCGTCATGTCATACTTTCTGCTTTTGTGTCGAGTTATGCTTGTATTTTCCATTTTCATATCCTTAAATGAATTTATTGAAAAGAATGTTATAGGCTTTATAACACGATAGATAGTCAGCTTTTGGACATGGGCGTATTTCACTTGCTACCCAGCATAAATACTGGCACTGATGGGAACACAATATTGTTAGCCAATTTTAGCAGTTCTGCATCTAACAGCATACTTCTATATCTAGTAAAACTTATGCTGATATTTATCCTGATTTCTACAGCAAGTTCAGAACTTTGGAGAACCTTTCTTTATGGTTATTCGTGAGGATGAAACCCTTTCTTCTATTAAAGAACGGATACAGAAAAAACTAAAAGTTCCAGATGAGGATTTCTCAAAGGTACTCTATACTATTCCACACTTGTAGATAATTTTAAATTTATGATTTCCTTTATGTTATAGCGTTCTCCTGGAATCTTATAGAAGTGATGTAATTGGAACATGTTACCTGCCAGTTGTTTATTTGCCTAACACCATAAGAACATCAATTAGTGTCGTTCCCAAGTTCTCTGCTTCTATCCCTAGTTCGCCTCAGAAGTGGCGCATCAGATGCATCACTTGGTTTTATTTTTATTATTTTGTTGACTTCCGTTTGATCATGAAATATACTGAGTGGCCTACATTTTTGTCATCTGGCGGTCAACATGCTAGTTTGATCTCTCTAATATTCGGTTTAAATGTTGCATAGAAAGAATATGTTTAATGAAACACTCAACTGCAACTGCAGTCCTGGTACTTCTCTACTTTGGTGCATTCAGATAATGAAAGTTGTATTGCTTGATATCACACAAACATGATATCACTCTGCTCTTTTAGAAATTCCTATAATATGTTCGTAATTGCCTCTATTGGTTTAACTGTTTAAGAGCTTGCCATCAGACACAACCTGCTGCTGACAATTTTATCTGTTAGCCAAATGAACAATGTTAGTTAATAGGTAGAGCAACCTCAAATGTATTTGGAATGACTGATACTTCTCTACCATCGTTAGTGGTTAATTAGTGGGAACTGAGCTCTAAATTGAATAGTGTACAATATATATTTTTTTACCAAAATCTCTTCCCAGGGTAATTAGTAGTCCTTTTACGTATCTTTGGTGCTGATTGTGATTAATTATTTGGCTTGTGGCGGGTGGTCTATGGCAAACATACATATGTTATTTCTTGCGTGCTTTTGCTTTCTGATGGTTTTCTGCTTGTGAACTGTGACAGCTAGTGTAATGCATTTCCATCTTTGATGTAGATTTGCTAATGATTAATGTGGTTAGATCGGTTTGAGTAATGTGTTTGCTTAATGTAAACATGCACTGCTAAGCAATGTTCTCATCTCCTTTTGTAGTGGAAATTTGCCTACATATCACTTGGTCGCCCAGATTATTTTGAGGATTCAGACACTGTAGCTTCAAGATTTCAGGTACAATATTTTCTTGCTTGCTAAACAATCACTGTTAGTGCTTAATTTGGTTCACATTTAAACTTTTTTTGCTTGCTTATTTAGCGAAACATGTATGGAGCTTGGGAGCAATATCTTGGACTGGAGCATCCAGACACGGCTCCTAGAAAGACACACAACGCTAATCAGGTACATCCTTGGCAGATTAATACGGATGGTCATGGGATGTCTGCCCCTAGTTGGACAAACCCGAGAGAGAATTGTAACCTACCACTACAACTATTTCTTTTCTGTTTCTGGAATGTTTGCTAATTGCATGTTCTTCATGCAGAACCGCCATTCATTTGAGAGACCTGTAAAGATCTATAACTAGACTTGAGAAATTTGAGTGACGTGCCGCCATCCAACACCAAGCAAGGGCCTGAAAAGTGCTGGCTTGAATAAATTGTGTACCATAATTGATGGTAGGACGGGTTGCTCAGGTTTTTCGATGGAGCTAGAAAGCATGCATGGTGTTTCCTGAGGAGACGTTTTTTAGTATCTGAGGCAGTTTCTCATCTTCCGCAACTTGCCCCAGATATATAAAGTTGTGCAGAGATGACCCATCGTCTTTCATCAGTAGATAAGGCGGTATTTTCCAGTAGTCATACAGTTAAAATAGCTCAAGTTTTCTTCGTTGATCACATGGTTCTGCAGTTGTACTAGGACTCCGAGCTGTTTATACCTGTTGCCCTGTAAATTATCCATGTACAAGGGTTTTTCTTGCTCTGACGGCAGTCAACACGGTATTGTAATTCCAGCTATAAATATATTGTTGCCTCTTATATACTTTTATCTGATTGGCAGTTCGCTATCTCCTGAGATCATTTGGAGTACATGAGAGCTTTCAGGAATCAGGACTGGCTATTCTGTGAACGACCGCTTTTTAATTAAACAAACATATTCCTAAGCCTCGTCTTTGGACATTTGGGGCTTTAGTCTCTTACCTCGTTTTGATTGACCTCAATTCCGACTGATACACGTGTGACAAGTTTGAAGAAACCCACATTTCGGCCTTGCCAAACAAGGCTTATGTGGCCTTCAATTCGAACGAGGCTTTACTCTTATGACCTTCCAGGCTCCAGGCTGGACTTGTTTTCTTGGGTATAAAGCCTCGACACAGCGTGGTGAGAAATTTCGTATGCCGTTCTCTTATGTCCTACACTCCTCGCTTTGTCATCCACATTTAGATTTTTTTTTTTTTACGGAGGTTGTTAACAGATCACATCGTAGCTGCCGCTCGTGTTGTTCCTGAAATTGACCAACGTGTACTCTGACGTGGACGTGGGTCCAGGATTGCAGCTAGAGATTGTCTGCTATGGTAAATGTGACTACTATATTTAAATTTATCCATATTATTCACTAATAAATTAAGAGTCAACTCATACAATATGTCACATCTAGTAAAAAATACCAATATCTCTAATACTTTCACACCATTCTTGAAATTTGTGTGGAGGTTATCTCTTGATTTAGAGATGGCTCATCATCTCTCTCCTCGCTTCTCTCCACCTCATCACTCAATCCAATGTAGCACCCTTAGGGGCAGCATATGTAGCATTATAGCACTTGCCCATAGGGCAAATTCAGTCCACACACTAGTTTTGCAGGACCCATGCACAAATTTTTAAAAACCAGCAGCGTCCGCCCTCCCTCACACTGTCACACAAATTGTCGAAGCTATAATAACCACATGCAACAAATATTTTTTTTAATGGGGTAAGATAACTCTTTGGCTGAGGTCGGTTTTCTGTTAACTTCCTCCGTTCCGAAAAAAGGCAACCTATGTGGGGATTTGACACCACCTAAGACAAAATATGTCCAGATTTATTGTCCTGTGGTGTCAAATCATCACCTAGGTTTTTTTTTTTACGGAGGGAGTAACAACTAACGGTTGCTCTCACAATGTGTTTAGTTCGATTTTTTGGGCGCATGCGTCGTTTTCACCTCATTGGAATCGCCCTTAGACTCGACCAACGCACTGACTCGGAAATTGCACACTGTAGTATTCCCTCCATCCCACGTGACCATCATATATAATTTTTTAGGTTATCCCTAAATGATATTAGTATTTATTCGCTAAATCTATGGATACTGATGTATGCATCCATGCACATGCACATAACGTGTTACAATCAACATGCAATATCTTGGTTTGCTAGTAGCTAGGAAGTAGCGGGTATGGTGCATGTATCGAGTTTGTTACCGGAGTAAATGTAGTACGAGAGAGTTATTAGTTTTCCCTAATCTTGGTGCACTCTTATAATGTGATGATCAATTAGGACAGAGGGGGTAGTTTTATCCTTCTCTATCTCTACGGATTACTTTAGTTCCCCTTTGCATCTTTGATACCACCACCACACTGCCTATTCGCCAACTTATCACCCTCGTCCCCGAGACTACTGCTGCTTCTCTGCTCTGTCAATCCCCAAATCTCTGTATCCCTTCACGAATTCTTCGCACATTAAGCAATATGATTGGGGATGTAACACTTGCTCTGTCTGTCCATAACAAAGTAGTCATCTCAACCCGCCAAAACCCCATCACCGATTGAACAAAGCAGCCAAACTGACCGGCCTCTGTAATTTAGCCCCAATCTGCTCGGCCATGCTTAGCATGCCCCTCCTCCATACCACCAGCATGATCTACACGAAGAACCTCACAGCCGGCCTCCCGGATCCGTCGCTGGACCTGCTTTACCCCGGTGAGCTCATCGGCGTTGCCGGCAACTACCACCACCAAAGATGAGTGAAGCAGTTCATTGGGTAAATGTAACATGTATAGCTGCTAGTTGGCACTAAAAGAATCAACTGATCATTTACCAATAGTCAAGGCAAGAGCACTTCCCTTCTTTCATATGATGGAACCTACTACCATCTCTCACAATAATCTCCCTCTGAAAAACCATTGTCACCATCTTACTGAACTCATGGCAATCCCCACAGACACGAAGGTTCTTGACGATACGGATTGGGCTGCCAGCTTCAAGAACTATGAAGCCATAAGCAATTGCCAATCGCTCGCTGTGCACCTTGACCGCGTGCACCTTCTCTTCCTCCCCAATGTCATGCAATACAGATGACACATCCGGTACATACCCTGCCTCTGTCAACCTTTTGTTGATCATGTCAAGTGTATCATAGATCTGCACAGAATCCTTGTGATAAGTGTCTCCTACTAGAAATTTGTGCACCTTCCCATGCGCTTCCATCAAGCTCCAGCCGGCTGACTTGTTGGTACCGCGACTAGACATCAATTTCCTGACTTCCCTGACTTCATCCCATTTGTTTGCCTTTGCATATATACCTGAGAGGAGGACATAATAGCCAGAATGAGTTGGATCCAGTTCAATTAGCTTGTTACCAACAGAAACCCCCAAATCCACCAGGCCATGCGTCTTGCAAGAAGAGAGTATTGTGCCCCAGAGAACTGGATCAGGTGCAATATGCATCCCTTCGATCAATTCAATGGCTTCCGGAACAAGGCCAGCACGACCCAGAAGATCAACCATGCAGCCATAATGCTCCATTTCTGGCTCAATGCGATATTTCTCCACTATCAGTTTGAAATAGCGTCGCCCCTCAGCAACAAGACCAGAACGGCTACAGCCATTGAGCACACCAACAAAAGTCACATTTGTAGGGGACAGACCCTCACTGATAAACCGCTCGAAGAGCTCCACCGCATCCCTCCCCAAACCATGAGCAGCAAGGCCACAGATCATGGCGTTCCACGCGAAAACATCCCTCCTCCTCATGCCATCGAAAACCTCCCTCGCAACCGCCACACACCCGCACTTTGCATACATGTCCACGAGTGCCGCTCCTACATTCATACACACCGGCATTCCCGACCTCTGTACCACATTATGCACAAACTTCCCATGTTCAAGCAAGCCCAACCGTGCTGCTGCCGACAATGCCGTCACCACTGCAGCCTGATTCGGCCTCACGCCCTGCTCCACCATGTTCCGGAACACTCCCAGCGCCACCTCCAGCTCCTCTTCCTTCACATACCCGCCCACCAGCGTGCTCCAAGAAATCTCATCCCTCACTGGCATTTCGTCGAACACCTCCCGCGCAACGGTCATCATGCCAGCTCGCACGTACCCCGCGAGAACCTCGTTCCACGTGAGGACGTCCCGCACGCGCGGCAGCTCGTCGAACACCCTCCGCATTGCCCCCACGTCGCCGGAGACGCCGTAGAAGTGCACCAGCGCGTTCCGCACGAACAGGTCGCCCGCGGCGCCCGCCTTCACGGCGAGGGCGTGCACGTGGGAGCCCAGGAAGGAGCAAGCGGAGGCGGAGGGTCCCGCGGCGTTGAGGTGGTTGGAGATGGAGGCGAGGAGGAAGGTGAAGGAGTGGGGGTTGCGGCGCCGGAAGCGGGAGAAGAGGGTGAGCGGGAGCGGATGCGGCAGCACGCGGAGGAGGTTGTTGGACGCGAAGGCGGAGGTGGAGTTGGCGCGCCGGAACAGCGCGAGCGGGTAGGCGTAGTGGTCGCCATCGCCGCCGCCGTCGTCGCCGCGGTGGCGCGGCTTGTCCGGGAGGAGGCGGGGGAGGACGGCGAGGAGGTGGGGCATGGCGCGCGAGGCGGCGAGCCCGAGGACGGCGAGTCGGGCGTGCGCCTGCTGGACTTGGCGGACGGTGGGGCTCGGCGGAAGCAGCGCCGCAAGGAGCTCCCTCGCGTCGGCGGCGCGGCGGGCCTCGAAGGTGGGGGCTCGCCAGACGGCAGCCGCCGCCGCCGCCGCCGCCGGCGGTGGCGCGCCGAGCTGCATGGACGAATGGATGCCCTCTCGATCTACCTCGGCTTCTCCCTTCGAGAAGTAAAGATGCTTCACATTTGATCTGGACCGTCTGATTTCGATCGGACGGTGCTGATTGACCCGCTCGGGATTTTATTAGCCCCTTGCAATTTGTAAATGTGCAGTTTGAACCATTCAGATTCATTCAAACGGACAGACAAAATGCATGAGAAACACATCGTCAGTTGAACTGATGTCCCTTTGAATGAGAATAAAAATCAAACTAGAATACTTATTACTTATCTAAACCAAGGAATTCGATCAAATCTCCACGTCAAAATAAGTCTAGAGAAGGACGATGGGTCTGTTCACTTTGATGTCATTTTCAACCTTACCAAATTTTGGTAAAGTTGCCAAAAAAAGTGGCTACATTTAGTTTGCTGCTAAATTTTGATAACTATATAAGAAATCCTGCCAAAATTTTGGCAATACCAAAACTTGGTAAGTTTTTTTTTTCATCAAAGTGAACAGGCCCGATGATTTGGAAAAGTTTGGAGTTGTTTGCATATTGAACCAAATTTATTAAGGGCATGTATCTAAACAAAGGAATTCGATCAAATCTCTACGTCAAAATAAGTCTAGAGAAAGACGATGATTTGGAAAAGTTTGGAGTTGTTTGCATATTGAACCAAATTTATTAAGGGCCTGTTTAGTGGATGCTTCGAGTAGCTACAGTTTCTGATAGAATCAGAAGTTCCCCATACAATTTCTAAGAAGCTATAGTTGTAAAATCCAGAAAATGAATTAGAAACCAACCGCTAATCAGAATTTTGAACTCCCCCAAAAGCCCAAACAACCCTTAAAAGGTGTGTTTGAACTCTCTAGCACACAAAGCGAAGCACATATTAGCACGTGATTAATTAAGTATTGGCTAAAAAATCTTAAAAAATAAATTAATATAATCTCTTAAAGCAACTTTCCTATAATTTTTTTTAAAAAAACACATTATTTAGCTATTCGGAAAATACGCACGTGGAAAACAAGATTGGTGAAATTGGCAACATTGACTTTAGAACACAGCCCAAGGCATTAACCCACCAACATCCGGGGACACGATCTTGAGTTGAGTTTCCTACTGACGACAAGTTAATGCCAACTACAGTACTAATCAGAATCTCCATCTCAGTTACAAGCATGGTGAAGAGTTAATAGAGTTGTCGTGTCTCCCTACCACAAGAACTCAGTGAGATGGCAACGATGCATTTGGCCATTCCCAGAGAAGCTCATAAGGTTGATGCAGCTCTCCCTCCTGGCAAACCTCATCTTGACCCGACGCCATTCTTCTGAAGACAGCGATCTGGGAAGCGAAGCCTGGTTCATCGCCTGATCCGCCAACGCCACTGAACTCGACGCTGTAGTTGTGCTTTTCTGCGAGTCCGGTAGCCCAGTGCTGGAACTGGGATCTTGTCCACTCGAACTTGTGGTCATGGTTTCGGAACTTGCAAGGACCAGCGTTTTCTTCTGGTTCTTCTTCCTTGTTTGGCATAGCTGATCTCTGGAGGATAGGGTTGTATTCATAGTTGGGTGTTGAAACAATCAGCACCGTAGGGCAGAACGAACTCAAGACGACGTCGCCACATAAACTTGCTTGGTCCTCCTCTACGTGCTCAATCACCTGCAAGTAGCTTTGGTCAGTCGAATAGCATGTCCAACTAAATCTAACGTTTGAGAGATCAAAGAGAAATCCACATCAGCATTTGTAAGGATGGACTTCCCACTGTACTACTATGAACAAAATAATGAATCCACATCAGCATTTCTAAGGATGGACTTCCCATTGTACTACTATACAAATGTGATTAGGCTATGTGATTCTTAATCCAATCAATTAATCGTGGTATCCATGTACTAGAGGCAATTGAGAAGACAGCAGAAACAGTTCAGGAGTAACTGACCTCAAGACAAGTGCCAATGTCAAATCTGTATAAGCGAGAATCAAAATCCGTTATAGAACCATCATAGAGCACAGCCGTTGGAACACTTGTCTGCATCAACGATTTCTTGCTCAGCTTCTGATGAAGGCTCTGCAAATTCAGAGAGATGAAAGGAGTCATTGCCAAGCATTGGAGAGAACAAAAGGGATGGTTTAAAGGGTGAACTAACTATCAACAGTCATCAAGGCTCTGTTACGTGCCTTTGCTGCTCGTGTGAGACCCTTCCGAGAAATGTCAACACCGACAACTTTTTCAAGGGTTGTTGGATGCTCAAGCAATGAATCAAGAAGGCTACCAGATCCACAGCCAAAATCAACCTGAACAAATTTACTTCAATAGTGATAAGCTAATATGCTTGGCAAATATGGAAGTAGGATGAGAAGAATATTTACCAATGTGGTAGCATGCAGCTCATTGATGTACCGAACAGCGAATTCCACTCTTTGTTTAGATAAAGGAGGATTAAACAAGGCTTTTTCCATTCTATCTTCTAATGGTTCAGTTACCTGCAATACCTTTACAGAGAACTCCAAGAAGCAATTGTCTGCAAGGATGGTTAAAACTTGAGCATAGTGCTTCAGCCAAATTCAAGCTGGTAATGAAAATTATCAGACTGAGGTGTTAAGATTGGACCTCACCTCTAGATATCTTGGAAAGGTCATGAGAAAACTCATTAGCTGCAGCAAGGATCAAATCCTTAGGAGGCAATTCAGCTATGAAACATGCGCTTTGATTAACTGACAGCTGACTCACGCATGATTCAATCTGATTCTTAACAGCCCCAGTCCCTATCTCAAACTCAAACTCATTGTTGCTTTCTAGCGTATATCTGTTTGTTTTGTCCTTCACCACCAAGGAAGCAGTATAGCTTATGCAAGTCAATGATCCATGGGATGGAAAAACACCAGAATCTGGACCATCAATGTGTGCTAAAACTGCATTGTTTTCAAGCTTTTGTTTTGAGGTATCCATAGAAAGCGATCCAACTGTACTGCATGCACTTGAGTCATCACCTCCTCTGTTGCCATAAATAGATAAGAACATGGCAAATTCATGCAAAAAATTATCTGGACATATTGTGAAGCCATCAGTGCTCTTAGAATGAGAGAGCTTCAGTACATGCTTGTTCGGTTGCTTGAAATAACTACAGAACCAAATCAACACCTTCAATGAAGAATTGTGAATGGCATCAGATTCCTTGCTCCAAGTATCAGCTGTCGAATACTCCAATAAAAGCTCCTGCTTCTTTGAATATATTTTGACATCACATTTGAACATATCTGGGTTTTCCTTGTCATTCTTTCCATCACTAGCACACTGATTTTCAGCATTCTTTAGCACGTCCATCTCCTCGGAGCTTACAGGTGATCCTAACACTTTACAAGAGGCACTTACCCTATTGACAGCGAAGTAGGGCTCTGCTAGTCTGTGAAGGCGACAAAATGAGCAGAGAAGATCTCGTGGAGAGAGACCCTTCCAACTAGAACGAGAATACACAGATGGAAGCTCTGCCACCAGAATTGAATCCCTGGATATCTTGTAATTCCCATCTGGTGATTTGCCCAGAAGAATCCTGAGTTACCAAAAAGCAAGTTATTCAGAAGAATTAGAAACTAAGATGAGAACAGAAGGTGTGCCTAAACAATAGAGAAAATCAATTCAAATGATGGAAGAGTAGTAGTCGAGTAGATGACAGTGTGAAGAAAAATCAGATCAAGATCTATCTACAACCAGATGATTCTTATAAAAAAAATGAAGTATGCATATTGAATTAAACTAAAGTCAAAATATATCTCATACAAGTGACATAATCAACAAATCGATACCTGTAATAGTTGGATAAGGTAACATCTTCAGTATGAAGCTCTGAGTCTCTCCTTGTATATCCAACATTAGCCAAAATTGCATCTCCATAAATTGTTTGACCAGAAATGAAGGAAGCTCGCTTATTTATTAGGCTCTCCATATAGCCATCTCCAAGAGAAGAAACCACATTGTGTGATATCTCAGAAACAAATTGCACATTTGGAGCTGAGAAATATAGCCTTATCTCAGAAGATGCTTTGCCAACAGTTCTGCAGTGAGACAATTTTAAGATTATCAGCACACCAAAAATAATGACAATGGTCAGAAGAGAAGGCTCGGCACAATACTGACCTTGAAACAACAGCGTGGGAGGAATCACTTGCAGAGAGCTTAGACACTATATCACCCATGTAATGTTCATTATGTGATAAAGTAAGTCTTATTGTCTTAGGTTCATCCTCCATCATACAAGGAACAAAAATCCCATCTACTTCTATGGGATCCGTTATGCCAGACCAATGCTGAAGTGCCAAATCAACAGCCTCAGGGGAATAAGGCTTCTGACTCCAAATCCAGAAGTTGCTATCACTGACAGAGACACCAGGGGATTTTTTGGCAGCATTATAGATTAATGATAAAACCAAGAGAGGATCAAACTCCGCTTTGGGGTCAATAAGTTTACACAGTCCAATGACCTTCACATCACATGCAGCAATTGCTGACATAGGAATCATACCAAAGCGGTCCCCGGTTCTTCTGAATGTCACACACATGTGGCCAATAAGAGGATGAGATGACGAGGGGAAGTTCTGAATAGAAGAGTAGGAAAAAAAAAAGACAGACATGTTAGAAAAGGTCGGTTAGAACAAATTAATTGTTTTTCAGTTACATCTGATGCTCTGAATAATAATATGATTATATAGCCGCATGCTTCAACTATAATCCTGTATTCTTGTGTACACAAAATGATTCAGACTTCAATATTGGTATTTGGTGATCATGTGACATGTCTATGTAAAGAAGAATGTGTACCAAAGCAGGTTGAAACTGCAGAAACATAGAAAGCAAAGCCTTAAGGGAAATGTTTTTTGTAGTAAGCTCGATGGTCCGGTCTCTTTACCACATAGATACCCATAACCTCTTAATTCCAGTAATACAGAGTCTTTCTTAACTCCAATTATAAGAGTTGCAATGGTTATGATCATGCAACCCTACGACATACACAGCCCATCATAAGGATCCTATATCCCTATTACACTCCTCAATTGCCAGCAGAGCATAGCATTCCACTCAAATATGTAACATCATGAATATGAAAACTTCCTTTTGCTGTAGCCTTCTGTTGTGTGCACCTTAATCCCTGAACTACAATGACACAACACCAAGATCAAGTGGAAAATACTAACCTCATCTGTAAAAAAACCAGATATGCGAGCAATAAGTTCATCCCATGCTTCTTCAGGAGTACTGGGAGCATTTGCAGTGGGCTGAATACCAAGCTACAACGAAGACAATAAAAGAAATGGTAATCACCATAGGTCCACAGCATGAACAACATTTCACATAGTAATGATATTTCATATATCATAGGTACATAGCTTATCCGATAGAGAAATACAAAGGAGCTAGGTTACTGTGCAGCTTGATCACTAACGTCGATGGCATTGGTTTGTCAGAACAGAAAACAGAGGGTACTATCAAAAGAAATGGCAACAAAGACAATGAGCAACACAATTAGGTGCTCACTCAGGAATTGAATAACCAAACTAAGGTGAGATTTGACTATTTGAGACTTGAGAGAACTCCACCTTGCACTTGTGACATTCCTCAATTCCTCATAGGTGAGACACAATTGCTAACTGAATCGTGCATTGTGCATATCGCCGTATCTAATCACAAACTTAAAGGCTACACGATAAATCTCTATGTATATGGAAGATGATTTTGCAACTACACATGTAAAGCAAAAAAAAAAAGGTGAAGTTGCATGCCACCACCACAATGCTCATCAATACCTTGTCGAGGGCAATCTGCGCGGCGGCTTGCTCGGCGTCCTTCTTCCTGACGAAGGTGCCCGGGGTGACGACGGTGAGGCCGGGGATGTCGAGCGAGCAGCGGTAGACGCTCCTGGTCTGCTGCGGCAGCGCGAGGCCGGGGCAGCCGCCGTCGACGGCCTCCCGCACCTCCTCCACGCTGTAGCACGCCTTGGCGCCGTACTTCTGGTGGATCACCGCCTTGGGCGTCACCGTCGGCGCCGCCGGCATCCCTCGCTTCGATCCCCCGCCGCCTCTCAGCCGCAACGGCATCAAACGCCCAAAAAAAACAAACAAAAACAAACAAACAAATGCGATTGGTAACGAAGGGGATTTTCGCAATCGATCGACGCAGGAACTGAGGCGGAATCGGGAGGGGGTGGTCGCCGAATTGGGGGAGGCGCTAAACCCCCCAGAAAAATCGGAAGCGAGGCGAGGAGGATTCGAGGAGTCGGGTGAAGTGGGGTTTAGGGAAGGGAAGCGAGGGGGAGTGTGTGAAGGGGGAGAGAAGGTTTTGATGGCGCTGCATCCAATAATACGCCTTCTTGTTAACGTTAGCGGAAATGCAGAATCTCTTTCGAGGGTAAAGTGTCCCTTGAGAAAATCTCGGGCCTATGTCCCGTAAAAATCGATTGTTATATTATTTTCTGAAAAATACGGTCGTTTCACTCGTATATAAATATTTAACGCATCAAAGTTTGACCAAACTAGCTGGGTTTTTTAATATATGCATTTGCATAAAATTTTTAAATAAGATAAATGGTCAAACATTTTTTAAAAGTTAATTACTAAGAAAAGAGGGAGAACATTTTATTTAAAAATTTAGTGCAAATATGTAAAAATAAAAGTCATACTAAACTAATTTTAATAACAAAATAGGTTAAAAAAGTGATATTTACATAAATCTTTTGAATAAGGCAACGGTCAAACTATATGGTCTAAAACTATTGTGTCAAATGGCCGAAGGGAGTAAAATGTTAAACACTACTCTATATTTCACAGTTTTTTTTTTCAAGTGGTTTTTGCGAATGCAGTATGCATATACTCTTGCTTGATTGGATTTTACATTAACGAAACTGAACTAACGTGAGTTTAAGCAAAACCATGGACTGAGATGCTATTGCCTAGTTGCACATAGAAGTTAATAATGAAATACTCCCTCCATTCCAAAATATAAGGCATAACCACCCTAACCAAAAGATCAAGAAAATAATTATTATTATTTTGTAGTTTCGATCATTCTAATAAATACAATGCATGCATCCAATAAAATTAGATAACATAAAAGTAGAGGATTTAAAAAAATAATAATTTAATGGAGAAGGGATCACAGTTAATTACCTATATACATACATGTTTTATATTATGGAACATAAATTATGCCTTATATTATGGAATGGAGGGAGTACTCCGTAGTTCTACTTTATAGCGCTGATGAATAGGTTAAGATCAAAACAAACTACAGATGGTGGGTCAGTGGGTGAGAGGAGCCATCAACACTGCCCTGATCTGTTGCAGATCAAGAGCATGTTTAGCTCTTTAATACTCTTCAGTTCACAACAGAGGATCCTAAACAGCTTGGACTCTGTGTAAAGTTAGCTAGAATCCCAAATCTTTGAGTTCTTCCCTCCATGAGCAATTGAGTTCCTAATTTCCAGTAGAGATGCAAAAAATCAATCAAGCTGGTTTGCTAATACCATATGCTAGGCTTAACATAAAAAATGATAACGAGGCAACAGAAATGAAGCGGTGAAATGAACATCAGGATCATTCGACAGACGACAGGATGGTAAACTTGACTCTATTTCTAATACAACTGAACATCCAATACATGTCAACAAGGTTGTTCACAAATTTCACCTAAAAACACGAACTACCATCTTAATTCTCCAGTCAAAATTTGGCTCGGTATATGCAAGCTACATTCAGGGAACCCCAGTCAGCCCACTACACTATGGATGTTGATGAGATCAGCAGTCAGGCTTCAGCAGCAACACATTTAGGGCTCTGCTTCATCATTCAATTTTTCTTTGCCTGTATCCTTGGTTTTCCTCAGACAGCGGCCCTCAAATAGCACTTCGTACAGTAGCCTTTTACTCCCCCATTTCCACCAGAAGGGTCCTGCCCCTCCTGCATGCTTCCTTTTCATCTTGTTTACTTCAGTGGCTACACATCGCAAAAAGAGATTATATCAAAAAACATATAAATCACTTTACTGCAGAAAACAATGGTAAGCAGAACAGTAGTCCTCAGATAGTTTCTAGTGCACATAAGAGAGAAAAACTAATCTAACAGTACAAATCAGAACAAGATCAAATATCAAGTTATCTAGATAAACAAGACACAACATAAGAAAGAACAAGATCAAATATTGTCTACTAACAATTAGAAATACATGTTCTTTTCCTTTGGTTGTCTACGCGTGTACCCAAAATAGTATAGAAGGTGTTGTATTTTAATGCATGCTGTAAATTTCCCTTGATTCCTCCCAACCACATCATTCACTCACTGTATTACTTATTACAATATCAGCATAAAGAGCTGCAGCGCAGCTATAAATATCAGCACAACTGAAATTCGTAAGAGCTAACATGGCTAGTCTAACATGAGATCACTCAATCTTCTATCTTTTTCAGCAGTGGGGAAGTGGGAAGCAAATTGGGCAAAGCCAACCTAAGAGAACGCAGTAGAACCTTTGCAAGGGAAGGTGAACTTTAGCGTCCGTTTATTGTTTTGAGTCTAAAAGAAAATCTATTCTCAAGTAATTCTCACCAAAAGGAACAGCGCAAAACCTCTTTGGTCTCAGTGAGACTACACCTTTACTATAAATAGGTCTCTGGCAAGCTACTGTTGGGAACAATATGGCAGATTTGGGACCTCACAACTATAGCCAGCTGCAGGAAGAAATGGAAATCATCGGTTGTTTAACATGGAACTCAAACAATATTATGAGAATAGCATCTCCACCGGAAAAGATAAATTTAGAATGGTCAGAGCTAAAGTTAAAAGATCAAGCATGATCTTTAAGCCTTAACTCAGTAATAAAATCTAACCCATAATCTAGTTATGTGAAGAATCAGAAAGTTAGCACCATTGCCCCCCAAACCATGTGGCTATTAGTGTCCAAAAACTAGCACAGAAGTCAAGAGTCTGATTATTCTAATCCTTGTATCCACAATAAATAAGCTACTGATCAATATCTTAATATATCTAGTTTAATTAGTGGCAATGTTGATTGCACTTTTGTCACTCACTATATCTGGAAAAAACCGACCGCTGCAGTGCCAGAACTGATGCAAAGGATGGAACTAAAACTGGCCAAAATTGCTGCTGGATACTCAGGACTTGTAAGACAGTCTGTATGCCCTCCTCTGATGGTTCAGTTGCATCTGTATCATAAACAGGACTATCCCCAAGTAGGACCTGCAAGTGTCAAATATCATCAAGATGGGTCAACGACAGTATGTCAACATTAAAACCATAACAACTCTCAGCTGAAATGAATAAAGCAGCTGCCCGTATTTCGATATCTGCATTATATCATATACATAAAATGCTGAATTGTCTGCAAATACAATAATGCAGTTAATTGAATAAAAATGGTTATATAACTGCAGAATGCCATCCATCATGTTAGAATTTTATCTGCCTAGCACTAAAAGAAAGAAAATCAAACCAGTTGCAACATATGTGTTCCTTGAGCTTTTGATATCCATAGGGAGTTAGGCAACAAAAAATAAATTGAATCCTTGACTAATGCCACAAACAGAATTTTCATTCAGAGATATTGGGACAATTGCTGCCAAGGAGAGTTACGATGCTAACGCAGTTGATCATACATAGCTTAGTTCCTTACCTCCTTATGGTATTTATAAATTCCATTGAACAAGAATGAGATGTTACTGTGAAGAATGCATACCTTAACAACTTCAGTAGCTGATGAGGATATAGACCGAAGATTGTATCTGCACCAAAGGTAGGCAAGACGAAAAAACATTGCATAAGTGTTGATGTGGTATTCTCAAATCTCAACTAAATATACTTGCACAAAATTTAGTTAGCTGATCAAAATAAAAATAAAAAATTAAGATTTAGTGCCTACAAATCCAAAAACTCTAAGCAGGATGCTGTGTATATTAGGTCCAAGATGACAGCCTACAGGTGATCATCTCAAGCGGATCAAATTTCTAGGCATTGCCTACCTTTTGAATATATATTTATCTTAAATTGATAGAACATCTGGGTACCTACCCTCCCTCAAGTATAACCAACAATTTTCCCTGTGAACAAGCAGTTAGCATGGACGCCATCCTAGAATATCCAGCAGGTGTGACCTATTAATTAAAGAGGAAGTTGGTCAAAATTATCAGACTCAGACTGACATGGAGTGCATTGAAATATCAAACAGGACAAAAAAGGCACACAGACAAGAATAAATTAGCAAACAAACACGAATAGTATCGAAGTTGAGGGTTGCATGGATGATATAGTTCAGTCTAACTTGTGAGAACATCAGCATAGTTATCATCTTCATATTTGACTAAGCTCTAGTATTTACAAACACATATGACAAACCAAACAGAACAGCAATGCATCTCACAACCATACCAGTGTACCACTGACTCAATGAGTGCATCCCTAAAGAAGCAACTGTGTATGAGCTTGAATGGCGTTTCAATGTGGTCCAAGAAAAAGTCCATACATGAGTTGTGCAGTTAAAATTAGCTTCTAAAGGAGCCCAAATAACATGTAATTTTCCTATATGATGTCATATGAAAGGTTAGCCTAAGTTTCACAAGAAGAAAATCCTCTGCAAAGTCTGAACGTTCATCTCTAAGAAGCCAGTTAGGAGGTACAAGCGTACACCAGAAATCTAGAATCATCAAAGATTTCTAAAATGATGCAAAAATGGAAGTGGAAAAAAACAGGTTCATGATTTAGAGACAACAATCATGTGTTAGTCTTACGAACTTACATCACAACAACCCAGAGGGTCACCCCTCGCTGCATCAAATCCTGCAGATATGATGGTGATGTCTGGAGCAAATTCTGCAGCTGCATTCATGAAAGAAAATTCATTGAAACGAGAACATGCAATAGCAATATACAAAAACGCAAGCGGGTAATATAAGGTATTAAGGTAATAATGTAATCTACATAACAAGGTGCCTGTGACCCAAGTACTTTAGGCAGACATGTTTTACCCAAATGAATAGACACCCTGTTTGGGGGAGCTGGAGCTTCTGGGAGAAGCTGCAGCTGCTAGAAGCTCCCCCAAACAGGGCATAAACAGGTTTTTGTTCCAATGTGTCAATATATTTTGTCTGTGCCCTTTCTAACAAGGATCTAAAGTTCTAAAATGCTAAGTCTCACAGAAGACGAAGCACAAAAAAAATTCAAAGGAGTCCGCGTGAGCTGCTCTTGACTTTACAAATTAAAGATAGGTATGTTCCGGGGGACATGTCCGGTGAAAACCATCAAATAAGTGAAAACTCGTGAAA